CTGGGGATCAGGGGCACTCACACTCAGATGTTCATCTGCCATACCAAGGACAAGCTCACTTAACTAGCTGTATCATCTGGTCCTACAGGCGATTAGGCTTGCATATGCAATTCACCCCCAATACCCCAGAGATGTCTCATTTTACAAAATGCATGACTTTTAAGACACTCATTGGCGCTGTGCAAAACCAATCATTGACCGTGTGATGGCAGCAGTTTTCTGAAAATCACTACCTAAAGAGCTCCCCCTGATAATGCATGTACACACACACACACATATGTATTTGGTTTACCATGTGCGTCAGTTAATGACCAAAGTTTGTTATTAATTGAAAGTGAATGAATGAAGAAATCAATGCAATACAATTTAATATAAAGTTAATAAAAATATGTTTATTATTATTATAAGCAAAATTGCAATACAAAATTGAGATTGTAATATAGGAGGGTAAATCATGATCAATTACAACGTGTGTGATAATTTTCACAACTCATAACCTGCTAGCAAATCCTAGCTCCCTGTAGTACTTTTAAAGGTCACACATCTTCAAATGTTTTTAACTTATTTCTCTGACAACTATTTCCATTTTTCAGGGATAATTATTTAGAAATTCGCATTGATAGTAAACTTGGACTTACAATAGGATAATACAGTGGATAAGTTTAACTCAATTCCAAATAAGGATAAAGAGATCAGAATCAAATTAGCATAATGTACAATTCCAAATAAGGATAAATAGATTAGAATCAAATTAGCATAATGTACAAATTCCAAATAAGGACAAATGGTAAGTTAACTTGTTTTATTTAGGTAGACATGATTTATGCAAAAGGCTCAAGACAATATTCAATGTTTGAACAACTATATTTTGAGAAAATGGCCAAAAAATGTATTTTTAAGGGCAGTTTTTATGGAATATAATAATAAAAAATTATTTGTCATTAACATATTTTATCACCGTTATATTTATGCATTAAACATATTTTATTTTGAATAATGAGAACAATTTGGTAAACAAGAAGTATTTTGAACACTAGTCAAACAAGTTGAGAAAAAAGTACAAATTCAATCAACTCACATGTAGAGGTAGGTAGTCTTGTTACACTGTGCAGGATAGTCTCAACAACTAGCCCAATAAAGTTTTTAAGAGTTTTGACAGTTTTCACCGGTGATAGTTATCAGGTGGTTAAAATACCTGGATGTTAATGAAAAATACTAAATATTGTTCCCAGAGATTATAGAAAAGGTCTTGAGTACATTCTAGGCTTAAGATAAACAGAAAATATAATCTGGTCTTCAAAACTGGCAATTATTAAAACGCTGATCTTTAAAAATAAAATAGGCGTAAAATATGTAGTGCTATCACACCTGGGTTTGAGTTCGGTTGAGATGAATAATGAAGACAAAAATACATAATTGTAAACACACATAATTAAACATCAATATAAATATACATAACACAAAGCACCACTTATACTTATACTATAATTAAGCCTTTAAAAAACAAAGCCTTTGTCCTATAACAGGTAAATTAGCCTGCTGTACTCTGCCGTTATACCGCAGGGCTTTGGTGAAATAACTACAGTAACTGTGTTCACCATTGTTACCTCTACACACAAACACCATCTCATACAAACCTCAAAACACATATATACTCAATGTGAATTGCGAAACCACAAACATTGCTTTCAATCTCATATACACAGAAATTGACACAAACATAATTTTCAGCTATCAAACCAATATATAAATATTTTTGCTCAATAAAAATATATGATGAATACACATTAATATCTGTGGAAATATAAACATTGGTATTAATACTTCTATAAGAAGCCTATGTTTTATATTTATGAGACAGAAATGCTTAAATGAAAATTCTATTAAACATTTTAAGTGCCTTTGATATTACGGTAGTACATACATCTCTACAAGAGAGGCACTTCTAATAGAGCAAATACGTTACCATACAGTTGTATAGCCAAAGTATTGCCTAGACCAAAATGAAATCATAGTATTTGTTGTTTACATTGCAAACTTTGTATATCAGCTGATTTATCAATAGGTACGTTCAATAAAAGAAATGAACAAAATTACACATGCATTAAACACTATTGTAATTATTTTCCACCATGTTTGGCCTTTATACAAAAACATATTTATTATGAAACTAGACAAAGGTTGGTCAAACCAATTTTAAATAAAATCTGTAATGCAATCACAATCATAATTAAATAAATTTTACAAAAATACAAATGAATCTAATAACTGGTCACTTACATTCTAAAAATATTCAAAATAATTAATAACAAATAAATATAACAAGCACCTGATTGTTTAATGTAAACAAATTTGATCACATGTCTGTAATAAATTTCAAATTATGAATCGTAGCATGAATAGCTGTTTACATAGGTCAAAGGTTTAGAACTACTTTATTTGAGGACCAGTGATAGTTGAGAATAATAACACAACATTTAAATGTGTGCTACACAATGACCATGGCCCTTTAAAGCTCAGTCTTGTTTCCAATCGCTGTATAAATAAATATCTTATTAGGCATTTGATTTACATCTTTGAGTATTACTGATTTGTTCTAAACATTTTAGTGATGATATTTTCATTTCAGGTTGTTTTTATTTGACTTACAGGTTTTACCTGCACTGTCCTTAGCACAGGAAAATCCCATGGAATTCCACAACAAAGTTGATAAGCCTGAAGTCAGTCTGATGTCAGGAA